TATATATATATATATATAGAGAGAGAGAGAGAGAGAGAGAGAGAGAGAGAGAGAGAGAGAGACTTGGGGTATCATATGATTTCACACCAATTCAGCGTACCAGCAGTAGACGTCAATTTAGAATCTGTGCCATATTAATTCCCAGAGATACCAAAAAAGGTTCAGGAGCTACAAAGGGAAGCAGTACAAACTGTACAACTGCAGATGCACAGCTATCATAGTAAAACATACTATACACTACAAGAGGTACATTCGGCATACAATGGGAATTGGAGGTACTAATAAGAACAAAGACTACTTAAAAAAACTACTAACTCAAAGATTAATAGGAAAGTACCCAATGAAGGAATGGACAAAGATATTTCAAGAAGAGGAATTAATATGTTCAAAGACATGGGCTATTTCACTGAATTACAAGTAATTCAAAGTTCAGAAATCCTTTGAGCAGGGAGAGCTGGTAAAGGAGTTAAGAGAGATGATGCTGACCAGGAAGACAGGGGACAGATCAGACATGCCTTTTTGTGTACCAAAACATAAAATTCAGATTCAAGTGCAAATAGTGAAAATCACAAAGGATATTATGGAAAGCAGGAACAATAATAGAAACAGTTGATTCAGATTAAGAAGCTAATGTAAAAACAAAATGGTGGTGAGCAATGTAAGAAGGGCTGGAATAATATTTGAAATCTAAACAGGAAAAACTGATACAATTTGAACACTGGTTGAGGTAGAAGAACAGAAGTTACAAGAAGCCTCCCACATTTATTGTTTAACTGACAGGAATTGGTACCATAACAGATATACAAAATGCAAGGAAGCCAATAGGTTTTAAAGAAGAATAGGATAAATCCTGCTTTTAAAACTGAAACTAATATGTACATTAGGAATCATTCATTAAAAAAATAGTTTGTCAACTGGGGATTATTAATAAAAATATTAATAGAAACTCAAGAAATGTGAATAAGTTATTCAATCACCATGCTTATAGAAATATGACCTCTATTAACTTGTATTATGCTACAGAAATGACTTAAATACATGACAAAATTCACCTCCTTCTGGAGCTAGACACAATTTACTATCTTGTACTCAACTCTGTACTACTACTTTTTAACCTTTGGTTTCTGACCTTTTCTGGACAAATAAGTTAAGACACAAAATTCAAGGAACATACACACGTTTAATGCCTGAGCCCATCCACAAGCCAGTTCAGGTTGCTCCAAGACCACCAGGAGCAGATACTTTGTATATTGTTGGTATTCTCAGGAACAGCAAAAGCAAGTTGTCTGAAGAAAATTCACTCTTGGCTCAACATGTTCATCCTGGATGTACGTTGATTATTTTACAAGTTTAAATGATGGTTATCCTACACTGTAAAATCCTAACAGCTTCCGGAGATAAAACAAGTATCAGAAAATACTTAAATAAAAATTTAAGTATTTTCTGATACTTGTTTGAAATACTTCCAGATTGAAAACAAGTATCAGAAAATACTTAAATAAAAATTCTATCAGAATCTGCAAATATTTATTATCTGATCCTGGAAGATACAGTTTAGAATGTTATTCATCTTCCCTACCCAATAGCAGAAATCATCTGTCTCTCTCTGCACAATCAAATTTCACATTTATCAAGTTAAGATGAGTAAATGATGCTTACAGAGAAATATTTAGCCTCCAGTACAAATAAAGAAACTCATGATTTTTAAATTCTATATACATACGCATTAATTCAGAATAAAAACTAAACAGAGTACATAATGTAGAAAGACACAGAAACAGTAAAGGATATCAACAGATGTAAAGTTCTTAAATTTTATTTAATCTCCTAATTGAATGTTCTATAAATGATATGGCAAAACACGAAGTCAGAGCTTGAAAACTGCATATGCTCCACATATGCACCCAAAGAAACGAATTGCAATATTCAAGGGACTATAAGTTACATGAATAGGACCTCTGAATGACATGGATTCTTCTAAACCATTTAATACTTCATCTCAAGGCAGTATCAATTTCTCCTATATGCTCCCATGCATTCTGTTGACACTGCTAAATTAAAAATTTCATATCAATAATTAGGTAGCTTTAAATTCATTTCTGAGCATAAGAGTCTTAAAAGCAATATATTTCATTCATCTCTGTAGTTCCAATATCTAGTGCATACCAGTCATTGGCTAACTGGTTATTTAAAAGACATTGAACTTATCTTTGAGCCACAGGTTAAATTTATCCTTCTAGTGGCCTATCACAGTATTAACAAAGGTATCTATTATCTTTAAATTCTAGGGAATGTTAATCACTAGCTTATTCTTAGAAGCTCTCCATATGAAAATGAGTTCACATTGGAATATTATTTTATGGGTATTATAACATCATTTAGGATAATAGCATATTATTTACTGCTTCGTTCTATTGTTTGGTGTTTACATTCTTTCATAATTTTATATTTATCCTACTGATGCAAACTTCAATAAAAGTAGATGCCAAAATAGAAAGAAATAAAGATAAACTGATCTCTCTATCCTAGGATGCCCCAATAATGGTTCTTTAAAAATAAACTCTCCAGTCAGGCATGATGGCTGATGTCTATAATGCTAGCAGCACAGGAGGCTGAAGGAGGAGGATTGCCAAGTTGAAAGTCAGCCTTAGCAAGACCCTATTTCAAAATACAAAATAAAAAGGCCTGAGGATGTGGCTCAGTATTTAAGTACCACTGGATTCAATCCCCACTACCAAAAATAAAAATACAAAAATAAACCCTGCAATTCATACTCTGTATTCTGCATTTGGTTTTTCACTAAGCGTGAAAATTCGGTGAATTTTAAGGAGTAGAAAGAATAAAATCAAATTAAAACAAACAAATTTGGCTAAATCCAGAAAGGCATTTTACCTCTGATTTGTCTCATTCCTCTAATAATAACTGCCCATTGACAAGTTCAAAGTAGAATGATTACAACTCAAGAAAGAT